CAAATATTAACTAAGAATTTCTTAGAAACAATTCAGTAGCATAGAATAAATAAAAATGATATTATTTTTTAGCAAGATAACAATTCTAAACATACTGCAACTGAAACTGAAGAATAGTTCTACTACAATTATATTGAGTAACTATTGTATTCATCTGATCTGAACTCAATAGAACATCTGTGGAATGAAATTGATCAGTAAATATGACAGTTATTTGTAGAAATTACTAATTCAGATCAACTTTGGGAGGTTATTCAAAGAGTTTAGGTTGAAATAGATATGGAATACCTAAACACACTGATTGAAAACATGCCTCAACATCTAATTGATATTTATAATGCAAAGAGAGAATATACGGAATAGTAAATGATAATTTTTTTTAAAAAAATAGGATCCTTTGTTTTTTTTTTGTTTTTTGCAAAATTTACATTTTGTATAAATGATCAAAAGAAATGCATCATGAAAAATAGAATAAATTTTTATTTTCTCGAATTTTTACTAAATAAATAAATAAATAAAGGTAGTTTCGTATTATTTAGGATTTAATAAATCAAATAAAAAATAAAAATTATTATTCATTATCTACTAATGAAATTATTGAATCGTGAATTTTGCTGGTTAGATGATGCAAAACATTTGGCTGCCACTGTAATATTCTTCAAATCATTTCTTCATTCGCATTAATTTAGCCTGTAAGTATAAAGATGATTTATTAATGTTGATCAGTGAAATTAAATATATGAATATAAATACTTATTCATAAATATTTGTCACTAAATACTTAATTACAATTAATTACCTAATACTACTCAAATCATTTCTTTTGCTTACATTAATTTAGCCCGTGAGTATAAAGATGATTTGTTAACGTTAATCATCAGTAGAATTAAAATCATGAAATACTTATTTATAAATACTTAATTTAAATAGAGAAGGATTCACCTTGGATTAGGTACTGTCTCTGCTGTATAACAGACTTACTAATTGTTGGTGTTATTAGTATTTAGCATTGTAATGTGCTACTTTCCCGTTCCTGGTTTTGCGCGACAACGTTGCGCAGCTACTTATATAACAAAAATAACCCGGTTTGTAACCCGGTAATGACGGGTGAGTAACCCAGAGTAGAAATTTATAACGGGTTCAAGCTCTATCATGACGTTTACAATTATTAATTCAAATTAGTTCAGCGAAAATAGACCATTTTTATAGTTAAAAATATTTTTACAGCATGTTTTATTAGTGAGTAGTTTCGCATTATCTATTATTTTATTTGTTTTATCTTTTTTTTTAAATTTACAATTATGTTTTTTAATAGGAACCTGATTTATGGGATTCTGTAATTTCATATAACAATTTGCTATTAACGTTAATCGATAAAATTCGATTAACCAATAATATTTTTGCAATGTCACGGGATTATATACAAAAATTAGCCAATCACAATGAAAGTTCGCTATTCTGAGTTAGATTCTTAAAGTGAAGACTGACTCTTAGCCATGCTTCGAGTAATTATTGTACGAGTAGGAGTAGGAGTAGTTATAGATCGACTCTTTCGCTTTCCTGATGATGGTTCTTGTTTCACCGGAGTACGATCATTCTGAGGCGACGTAAAAGGAGAATGATCTGTCAAAACTGGGGTATCAATGTTTGACGGTGGTGTTGTTCTTTGTCTTTCTGGAGAAAGTTGTGTCGAATCCCGCACAGATGGCTGAAAGGACAATATTGGAGAATGAATTATTTGTGTTTCTTGTTTCATCATTTCATCCAGTTCAATAAATTTTGTTACACTAAGGTTATTTATTCCTGTTTTAAACAATGAAAATTAAATCTTATATTAAAATCTATTAGAATAAAAAGGTAACGAAAATATAAACCAACTTTTATCGCTGCTTAAAGCTTTATCGACTTCCATAGAAATTTCTTTTAGTTGCATTGGAGGTAGAGTCTCCATAATGCTTCCAATATATTTATTCCGCATGTGGGTGCTTACTGTTCCACTTCCACCGCCTTCGCTCTGTCGCCTCAACAACTCATTTTCTTTAATAGATTCAATAATATTTCCATGATGAATATTATACATAATTAAAAAGTGTTTTCGCGTCTCCTGGTCATCGCTTTCGCAATATTTCTTTAAAAATGCACATTCATTCTCATCCATCACAGTATTTAACAATGTATTTAACCTATCCGCATCAGGTTTTGGAAGGAAGCAGAAGTCTAATAACTTTTTGAATAACGCTAAATCATCAGCGTGAGTCCTATGCTGTCGCTATAAAATCTGAAATTAGTGAATGTATATAACAAAATATCATAATATGTATGGTATACACACTTGAAAAAGTAAGGCTTCACATATATCGCACTGCAATAGAATTTCCATATATATCTCTATATTTTCTGGTGACTTTTCCTGAGTGCTGTTAAGATTTGTATACTTTAACGCATCGTATGGGCCCACATGTTTCAACAATACTTGCATAACTTTTATATCCCAATCCACAGTGACCGTTGGCTCAGTTAAAAATCTAATGGCTTCTGCGAATTGCCAATGATCTAAAGCCCAATACCCGTCCATAAGACACAAAAAATTTGGTGGGATTAAATATCTGGCTGCATATTTTTGATGCCTTTTACTAAAAGCTTGCCAATCTTTTAAAAGATAATATACAAGACAATGCTTCCTTAACATGTCAATATCATTGCTTTTTAATATCTCATCAAACAAAGTTTTCAATGCTTCTATATCAAGCGGAGGATAAGACTCTGGGTCGATGTTCACAAATTGAAGTAACATATCAAAAATGAGTTCTCCATCCATTTGGTTACGTCGAGATCGAATACCATTAAATGTAATTGAGGCATAGGGAGTAAATTTTATAAATTCAGCTTTGTCAAACCACTCGGTGAATGACGGTTTCAGGTCATAGGGTACTTCATATTGTGTTTTAATATTTGGATCAAAAAAGACCGTTCTATCCGGCAAAAGGATTTCACACCTAGCATAGCGTATAGGTGCATCAATATCCAATACTGGTAACGAATTGCATAATGCAGAAATATTTTCCCAACATATAAGAGAAATTGTTTGAGCACCTTCAATTTTAAATATTGCGAGCTCTGGGCCATCATTAGCGTCTTTTTCCAAATAAATGGATTCTAATGCGACACATAAGGTGTAATCAATACCGTCAGCAGTGGATGTAATGGCAACAATTCTTCCTTTGATAACATTCAAATCTGGACGACCTTCAAAACTTTGTTCAAATTCTTGACACGACCGATCACCAAAGCCAAAGGACGTTTTGAAGAACCTGATTATTGGTTTCGGATCAATCTGTTCTATGAAATCATCATTCAATGCTGGATCAAGACCACCATGTCCGACAATGATTAGTCCTTTGTTATCTGCATGAGGAGGACGTGAAATTATATGGGTAATCGGTGCTAATGACACCGGAGGTTCTATTGATTGAATCTGTTGTATTTTCAGATCAAATTCATAACTAAATATTTCGATAAGCCCCCGCATGCCACCTGCGATTATGAACGGAATGTCATTAGTGCCATGAAGTTGATGTGACGATACATATACATTCACTGCTGATACAGGTTCTCTAGTATATAACTGCTGATAATGCTCTTCAATCACTCGAAATTTTGAACAAAATCCCTCCTCAGGGGGTAATAATCGATATAAAGATATTCCAATAGCAGAAGCAATAACGATTAAATAAGATGCTGATGCAGTTGTACGTGCTTGATTTAATTTTTGGTTTTCATCATCCTAGATGAAGGAAGTTAATACTAATAAAATAAAATAAAATAAAATAATAATAACAGCCTAGACGAACTCACTCACGCTATGCAATATCTTCTCAGAAAATACAACGTCATTTATTGTAGGGATCAATTTGTCCAAGCTCATCGGTAAAGTATGTGCGATCCTCTCATATATATTGTACAATAGAAATCTATATTCTGACTTGGTAGTCCGCGTGCATATTAACAAGCACTTTGTTCCGACTATACAATCGGTTACTCTCACAATCTCACGAAGGTATCCTTCGTCTTTCGGTTTTAGCGGATTACATTTTTGCTCATAATTGTACTTCCTCAAGTCGAATGTATCATATAATTTGAAATCACGCTTATAACGGATTTCGATTACTTTGTCATTCCATGTATAAATGAAGGCAGAAGTATCGAGATTCGCGTGTTGTGTACCAAAAGCGCCAGCCGTAGGACGATGAATTTGATCAGTTGTTGAAATATGAGTTCTTGGCAAAGTCGCTGGGGTTGGTCTTATGAAATTTTTTAAAGTTGTTAAAATATTCATAATTAAGATTAACACTGTTCGGTGTTTATAAGATATAAAATAGTGAGTTGTAAGACTTTATATGATTTACAAACATATGCTAAATAAGATTTGAAATTTTTGTAGATCAATAGAAATTAAAATCGGTGTATTTTTAAAGAGAAATGAGATTCAAGTTAATAACGAAACATTAAGCAAAGATAAGTATTTTTTTTTATTTATTTTATTCTGAACTTCTATATTGTCTAATTATCTTTTCTTAAAACACATTCATTTTATATATTTTTTTTTGAACATACAGAAAAGAATTAAAAAAAAAACAAAAATAATTTTAACAAAAGGTTTTTTTTTTTTTATTAAACTTAAATAACCTTGTCTGTTATTTTATTAAGAAAAAGCTAATTTAAGCTATAAGTAAAATGCTATGCTAATTATAACAATTCTACTTTTCTAAAACTATTCAGAACTTATTTAGCTACCTTTTGGCATCCAAGTATAATCTGTTATAGCAACTATTTCTTTTGTAAAATTTTAAATTTGTATATACAAATTTTTATCTTCTAGTCAGCAAAAGGCTACTACTAGTCAAATAGAAAGTATTCCAGGGATTTTAAAAAAAAAGCTGAAGTCATATTAGATATGAATGAAATAAGTTTAGCTATAATAGCCTTAGATAGAAAACTCTGGCAAGTAGGACAACTTAAAGAAAGCTATTCACCAAAACTTAAGAAGTTAGTAAGTATTAAAGCTCTGCTTAAAGAAAAAGAATCTCAGAAGTTAACTAGCATAATTGAGGAAATGAAAAGACACTGAGAGCAGATTAATGCATATGTATCAAGAATTACAGGTGTTAGCACTAAAGTAATTACTGTAACCTGAAACTGGTGTAAAATAATAAAGAGAATAATTATAGAAGAGAGTAAAGAGCTCTTAAATGATACTCTCACAAAATTAGAACAAGAGCTATTGTTAGCACAAGAGTTTAAAAAAAGTATAGTAAAACAAAAAAGAAGTGA